TTCCAGCGTCGCTAGTTTCCATTTTTGATTTGAAAAAAGGTTTGTTTAATTAGTTGTTGGTTTCCGTCCCATATATATCTAGACGACTCGCGTCTATTCATAATGCCGCTTAAACCAATACTTAACACTAGGCCAGTGACTCAATTAATTTAATTACGATTGAAGCGCTTTATTTTGAACAGATTCAAATAGTTCACAAAAGAAAAGAGTACGTAAAAAATACCATTTCATGTAAAGTATTGAGAAGAAAGTTTCTTTGTGATAAACCTCGTCAGGCGGGTACAATTATGAAGCAGATACTCAAAACTTATTAGAAGCTATTATTAGCTACGCACAAACAAACGAATGTCAGATGATAGGACCAACAGTAAAACTGGGTTTATCTTAAGTTCAGCAACCAATATGAGATTCAAATAAGTCACGCGAGACCGGTGGCCTTGATGCCTGCTAACTGCGTGAGGGCCAAGGGAAAATTAGTGCTTGCTTGCATGCTCTGTGTTTGTATGATCTCGGTTGTAGACGTCTGATAACAAGAACTTCAGCAATAGACAGGGGGAGTCTTTTGAATTCCTTTGAGTACCGTCTCGTGGCAACAGGGTGACTCTTAAATGAGTCATTAATCCAGCATAGATGCCCAGTATTGATCAGGTGCTTACAGATAGAACTATGAACACTCCTCAGAGCAATCGCTGGTATGCGTTTTGAAAGACGTCGGGTGCTTTGTACGACGTATCTAGCACTACAGGTGCAAACGAACTGATGTAGTACAAATTATTTGGACCCACTGAGTAGTCTTTCTTTTAGATTTTACGTGATACGTTTAGTTGTTTCGGTAAGAACGCGAATACGAGCAGCCGGAAACGTCTTGTTTAGCGCAGCAGGCGGCCTCCTAATTAGTAGCTGGAAGGGGATATCCCATTTAAAGGGAACTGGGGGCAAGACATTTTGCTTTCTGGCTGTAAGCACAGATTCAGGGACCTCACAGACTAAGGGGTGCTCTTTGTCAAACGCAGTAGGGTAAGAGTTGCTTGGTGGTGTCCCATGAAGGAACATTTGTTCTTCTACTGCCTCGGGGCGTAAATGTTTTTTGCTCGATGGTACAAGTGAAGCATAAGATTTCTTTTATATTTCGTAGGTAAGAAGCTGCGAAAATGAGCATATTGGCTAAGCAAACTTGTTCTTCTGTATACGCCCCGCTCAACACATCCATCGTTACGTCGTCATAACAGAAACTATAGAAAAGCCAGTGCACCGCCGTTCTCCGAACGTTTTCTACTTGTGGACTGCACCATTCCTTTCACTTTTGAGCGGCGGAGACAAACAGGTTGGTTACTTTCCGTTTTCAACAAATCGTGCCCTTGTTGCTTGAGGCTCCATGTTTCGCCGGGTGGAGCTCAAAGTACAGTCATTTTTCTCGAATGTGCTTCGTATGGACTTCAACGGTTCCTTGAGTGTGTCTTCGCTACATATCTTTTCTGCTTTTTCGGTTGGGGCATAAAAAAGTATTCGCTTCTGACTAGGTGAAACGAAGCTGTCGAAAGGAATATATCGCCCATTCCACATTGCCTTACCATGGACACTATGCTGGACCGACTCGTCAAATGTTCAGCTCCTATGGATGTCGTTGCATTCAGGGTCAAGTGTGAAATTTATGTTGTGTGCCGATCTAAAGTTTGTCACTAGTTCTTTCATGCCTAGGTGGCTAGCTTCGATGCAGAATTAGTAGCCCACTTTACGATCAGAATAAGTTTAGAATAAGTTTCACATATAGGTTTTTCCCAATTATAAGGACTTCCGCTAATAGTAGTCGTAACGGTGAGTCTACTTCGACTTCGGTCTTCTGCTTATAGATAGTTATGTCAAACTGGATTTATCGGTTACTGATACACATCAAAGGTAACTCTTTTAGCCGGTGGTTCGGAAGGCCGACATCTAGATGATGCGAATGAACAGCATCGCATATGTTGTCTATCATCCCTTCTTAATGATTATTGGAGAAGAGTGTTACAATTTTTAGTGAAAACATTTTACTTCAACTTAGCTTCCAACGTCTAATGGGATCCAGCAAGCTGAAATTATCTTTGACGCTGAGAATTGATAAGACTTTTCTGGTCTAACCTAGAAGCTTAGCAATCCACTTCGTTGTTGTGTGATATGGGTCTCATTGGAAGCCCTTTCTTGTGCAGTCTCGGTAAGCCATAGAGTCATTGGATCATCGTCACTGTGGAACGCATGTATTCGAATAGTACAGCTCCATCGTTTACTTCGTTTCGGATGACAAACGTATAACTGCCTTTTCGACTGTAACCGTTTTTTATTTCTTTTTCTCCATCCTGCGTCATGGTGAATGATCGGGGATGATGACAATCATCTTATCAATGTAGTCGGATTTTTCCAGCAAAACGATTCTTGCACCTCTATTCCACCTATAGAGAGGCACCTTCTCGGTCCATTTAAGCACTTTGTGGGCTTCCTGCTGCGCGTTCGTTGTGTTTAGGTGTGGACCACACCGCATGCACAGCTCTGAACGCTGTTGGACTAATCACCTGGCTTGGTCACTCAAACGTTCATAGACTTTGGACTTGTACCCACAGCCGTTGTCTACGTTAATGTGATTCATTCATGGTGTACTAGATTGATGATAAACTTCTAAAAACTAGCTTGTTGACTAACGGTTGTTTCGGATGCCTACACCTGTTTACAGTGAGTTTAATTACTCACCCAATGTAGACCATTAGCAAACAAGCATTAATTGCACCGCGATTCCATAGTCATTAGTGCTCATTTCCTGGCATCAGCGCAAACTACCGGCTATTGCACTTACCTACTGGCAATGAGGTGGGAAAACTGGCCGGCCCGGCATTCGTTCTACCGGATCGATGCATCTGCTGAGTTCGATGTGGCATAACTCGTCCTCGAATTCCCACAGGTTTGTATCCGCGGGGTGAATAGTTGCAACTTCTCTTTAGTTACCTCGACTGTCAGTATCTGTACTTGGACTTAGGAACCTTTATATTGATGATTTAGGCTGACTGGGCCATTGAATGCTGCTTCTAAAGCAAAAAAAATAAAAGAATAAGTATCCGCACCATTAGGTTTAACAATGCTTGAAGTAACCAAATGTAGGAGGTTGAGCGTAATACTAATAACATGAGATGCACGTCTCCCCGAGAGTACGCAGAACGCCAAAAGAGAGGTTCAAGCTCCCTTAAGGCTTTATGGTTACCGAACTAAATTTTTTATACATAAAAATCAGCTCAAGTTGCGACCATGCGTTTGCATTCAATCTGGACCAAACACTAGTAGAAACTTTTGACCTTAAATTTGATTTTTACTTTCAGTGCATAGAAAAGTGATAATATGACCTCGTTCATTCTGAATGAGAATGACAATAATTGCACTCGCTAATACTTGGTTTATATTTCGATGTTGAGGTGCACTAAGAGAAACAGCGTGGTCTGCGCCGTTTGTATCCCAGGGTGCGCTTTACATAATACACTAGATGCCTAATTAAAGGCTTTATCGCGACAATAAAGGCAGGATGTTGATATTACTTTCTAATGGTTTACTTAAACAGCATTTATGATATTGCTAATATCTGCTAATATTCAGCCGGTAAATGGCCAAGGTTACCAGTTTGCATATACTTTCTACTCTAACTAGAAAAGTTTAGGCCTCATAATCGACTTGGTGTACCTGTTACACAACTGCTAGCTATTGATCAAGATAATATCATAGCTGGATCAGCAAACAGCCTCCTCCTGGTGTTAGCTGGGTATTGAATAGGGTTGTGTTCCAGGATATGCTGTATTCCGGCCTGGCATGTGTTCCCCTTTTATAAAAAGAATAAAAACCCGTTTAACAACACTGCGACGTGGCGGATGTGACACCGAACGAACTACAGTCAATGCCTCTTGCATAATCGATTGTAGTATCCAACCTATGGACGTCAGTCATCCAATTCAAAGATTTCCCGTTAACGTTTTTCACAATGACGACCGACCGAAGGCAAACACAAACGCAGCGTCACGTTTATAAATTTAAGCCACACTGCTACGAACATTCACAAACCTAAATCCCATATGCAACTGGTAAACTTGCAGTATCCTTTTACATTTGCCGATTCTTCGTTTTCGTATCCCATGATCATGAATATTCAGCCGTGCTCGCGTTGTCAAGGATAAACTGTTTATTGATTTATAAAGAACCAATGGTAAGACACTGCAAGATTTAAAATCTATTGAAACCGTTTCCTTCCACCTCCTTTAAAGGCGTCAACTGAACATGGGTGTCAGTATCAAAAGCAATAACTACACATCACTTTATTACATAGTCGCTTCTGTAGGCACTCAATATGCCACATTTTAAAATGGTACACATCATATGTAACATCGACCAACATATAGGAGAACGACATTCGGTTCCTACAATCCCATTCTAACGGCTCTCGCTTCGACCTCTGTGGTCACGCTAATTCTCTCCACACAATATTGTGCGTGCACTGGTTCGAACCAGTTCGACAAGCATTACACAGTGATTTGCACTTAGGGGATTGAACTCATGTGGAACATACCCTAGCTCCAGTTCTCAGTTTTGCCTTATTATCTGTGATGTTCTACGTGTGCAACCACATTAATTCTGAGCTTTCCGAGAAACACTTTTGTCTCTTTCGGAAGACGAAGCTGAGGACCCGAAACTACTTGCCAATCATCCCCGCAAACTTCGGTATAACAAAGTTACGGTCAAGTTGCTTCACTAATCTACTGTACATCGCGTCCAAGGCACTCAGGGACGCTTATCAGCGCCCCACATTTAGTGTCGCTTAAAGCAAGCCGATCAATACACGTAGTCGCTTCATGTGAATGTGCGCGTTCAACCGCGAGACGTTTGATCGCTCAACCCTGTGCGTTCAGAGGATCGGATGACCACGATGGCTGCAGTGTGATGTTACCACGATTACGAAGGGATCAGTTTAGAACGCCCTACCACTCAACCTTGACAAATGTTGCGTTGTGCGATTGCGCCATAAACATCACTGCCCGTATTTACTTGGAGCACACGCTTTGCAGGTTAGGTCTCAGGAGCGTGGCCATGGTGTGCTCGTACAAATTGACTTCATATATTCCAAACAATCAGGCAGCTGCGAAGAGTGTCAATCAGCATGTCGGTTTGATGTGGGATTCGGAGGATCTGACCCATCAGACTCCCAATGGTGCACACTTCCTACTTGCGCCGTCGCGTTGAGTACGCCATCAAAGCGTGGCAACCTTGGTTGAAACTTGACCTAGTGGAGTTAGAGGCACTACAACGCAGAGCAAAAAAGAATGTAAAGGACCCACGTAATCACTTTTACCATTGTAAGTTGAAGTTGCTGGGAGTTTCATAGGACTTTCCCGAAACATGCGGGGCAACTTCATATTAGTGTAACAAATATTAGGTGACCCTAATCAAGTATACCACCATTTGCTGAAACGGCCACAACACGCAGCTCAGGGGTAACTGTTTGAAATTGAGTGGACAATTTGACCTTCTAGCATGTCAACAGATTTACTTCTCCCTTCGGGTTTGCCAACCCTAGAACTCTCTCCCGAAATCAGTTGTATCCTAGCCAGCTTTGAACATTTAAGAAAAACGTTTGGATGTTATGCTCAGATCTCAGCACCTCGTTACCTAAATTACACCATTGTGAGTTACGTTAATTACGCCCATGTACCGGATTTACGTGCAACATGGCCTCAAGGAGGCGGTGCGTAATTGAGTGGCCATAGTTAACTTTTTCACGCTTTACATCAACGATACGTGCACTCTCAACTATTATTTTACACTAACATTAATTATCAACGCAGTTATCTCGGTAGATGCTCGGTTGGGAACTCACGTAGAATCGGACTGCATTGTACTCACCCTAACCACCTAACGGGAAGTGTCAGGTGATTGTATTTATCTCGTGAGAAATCATCGTTCATCGTTCATTGTACCACACTAAAAAGCTTTGTTTGTAATCTAACTGATATTGTCAATTCCTAGTCAATATTTTCTGCACGGAAGCGTATTTCGTTGGTGGTTTCAACCAATTTAACGACCGCATCCATAGTCAAATCTTCCAAACTGCGGTGCTACAAGCTGCTGGTGGATGTTACAACTAACAGAGGAAGTCTACTTTGGTTTCTACAACGAAAGTCACACCCATATGAAATGATACATTGAAATAAAACTGCATTTCCCTAAAGTATTAGATATGCAAAGTTTGCAAATGACAGTTGCTCATTAAGCCTATTAATATAGTTTTTATGGAGAGCAGCGCGTTCCGGAGTTTATTTTGATCTGACCTACTCACTATAACTAGTAGTTATAACTGTCTCTAATTGATGTTGTAATGAAACGTGCAAAAGTGTATCTATGCTAGTATGTGATTTTACGAAAGATTGAGATTTTACACAGGTAAGTTGGATGATATACATCTAGTTTGCCGACGAGAACATGCATCTTCCTGTTCTACCCACGAAACATGCAGCATCTCTTCACTCTTGGCTCTATTGATCGGTTTAATCCTCGCTTGTTTAACAGCCATATAAATGTAAGCAAAATCTAGTTAGTATAAGGAATTGCGCAGTATCCTTAACGACTCACATCCTGTGCACGGAGAGTCAGTGAGCGTTCGTTGTTAGTTATTATGAACCTTAAGTTTAATACTGCTTGATCTCTCTGCTGATGTCGATGACATGTGATCCCCGTGACAAAGTTAAACTTCCTGATAGATATTTCGAGGGAAAGGTAATCATCAAAATGTGTCCTGTGAGTTTTTGCTTTTCAAGCTATACTAAAGCCCTACAACGACCCTAAACCTCTTGTCTGCGAAATCGACTTGTTGAAAGTTGTATCTCTTTATGGAAATTTCTCCCTGCTTGCTCTCACGCAAGTCGCTCATTAACAAGTAACAAATCCCATCGTTGTTATTTCTGCCGTTTAGTAAATTAATTCCTGTTAAACGAAGAGCTGTAGTTTCCTGTTCTAAGCAGGCAATTCAAATGCAACCGGATGTTCATCTGTCAGGGAATATGCGACGTTTCAGGTATAGTTCTACTAGCGATGGTGGATTTCAGACTGTGTGCATGCACTGACTGCATAATCAGAACCAAATGGTAAACCAGATTTTGCTGACAAAGAGGCGGTTTTGGATGGGTTTAAATACGGAACAAATGAAAATTGATCGGGGTCAGGAACAGTATTATTTGATGGTCTGCACTGACAGTGTACGAATAGATATGTTTGGCTCCAGGTAATTGTCTGGATGTGGAGTCTAGGTTAAAACTTATTCGCAGTAGACTTTGAAAAATGATTGCGATTCTTTTCTCTTCTATCTCTAAAATACCTAAGAAGTATAAGTAAAATGCACAAAACAGGCGTAATAAATAGCAACATTGTCAGAGCGTGGCTAATGTATTTAATGTCAAAAATGCCTCAGCAGTTTGTTGGAATAACAGAAAGCTTCTTTGAGCCATGATGGTTAGTTATCAGAAGAATGAAGACTGCCCTTATAGTTAATTGTGCTTTTAATTTATGAATTGTATATTATTCACAACTTATCTACAATAACAGAGAAATCATCCTTTGTAGTCCATTTTCTAAACATGGTGCTTGCACGGTTAGCTTTTGTAGTCGATCATAGCACCAAACTGATTTATTGTGGTGCATTTTCTGTTTGATTAGTAGATCTGAACGAGATGTGCAAGTGTCAGCTCCACCACTCAGTTGAGCATAACTCTTTAACTAAGTAACTAACTAAGTAACTAACTAAGTAACTAAGTAAGACTGTCAATAGCTCCAAAAGAAAGCTAACAGTGTCTTGCGTGGATACGATATTATCCGTCAAACTTTCCAAGTTTTATCATTGTCATGTTAGTCTCGCAGATTGATATCGCTGTGCCTATTTACATCAAGCCCAGTTTTGGTGCATAAAGAAACAAGTTGATTTAAGCGACGTTTATGCATGATGATATGGTTAACACTAATGATCTTGGTATAAGTAGAAATTCGTCACATCTAGACTCCCTCAGACAGCAATTACACTCCCGAAAAAGCAGTGTAAGCGAGTTTCATCCTTTTGAGAATCGTTAGCAGTGCCCATTCCATCGGACCCTGGTAGGGATCGAACCCACAACTCAACGGTTGACAGTCCATGCTTGAGACCACTGAGCTACGGGGACGGAAACGACCATCATGAATGTGGTAAGTTGCGTAGCTTTGTGAGGAGGCTACCCTGTCCTCTGCACGGTAGTAACGTGCAAGTCCGTGAATAGTGAGCGGCGCTATATTACATCTAGTAACTTATTCACGATGGTCGTTTCCGCCCCCATAGCTCAGTGGTCTCAACCACCGACTGTCAACAGTCTGTGGTTTCGAGCCCTACCAGGGTCGGATGGAAGGCGCACTGCTGACGATTCCCTAAAAGATTAAACGCGCGTACAGTGCTTTTCCGGGCGAGTGATGGCTGTCTGAGTCTAGATGTGACGAATTACTACCTATACCGTTCAACTCCCCCTACTACTCCTCTATAATAATGGTTTTGGCGACCACTTCGCATTAAAAGTTTAGATGAGCTTATTTTGAATTGAGTTGTTGGCCGCAATTTTGCCGACAAGAAGAAGAGGGCTGATAAATGCATGTGTATTTCGAAATGCATGCATCTACCGTCCTTCTTCGTCTTTCCGTGCTTTTTAGATTGTTGTAGGGAACTGACTGCTTTAAATTTCCCAAACCATAATTGCCAACGTATCTGTCTAGACTACCTTGGACTACTGCAGGCAACGTGGAGTCACATCTAAATATTAACAGACAGTTTATTTAGGAGACTCAAAGCGGTGTTTCCTCCTAACGGGCACAAGCACCTATCTCTATCCATGGCTCATTGTATGCATATCAAAGATGATTGCATCTGTGATTAAATGTTGTTGAATGCCTTGAAGTTTTACGACTATGGTTCAAAACTTCTTGTAGACTTAAAAATGTTGTCATTCCTTTTGGACTGCCAAATGGTTACACAAAGTTAACCCGCTTTATTTACCTGTGGGACAGTTGGGACGCCAAGGATATTATCGTCTAAGGAATTGACTCCGGCAACAGAATTTTTAGTGGAGAATGGTAATGTCAAAAGGGAGCTGCTGGTAGCCCCTCAACAGATTCTGATGTCACTATTGCACATCACGTTTAGCTTTATCAAACCGTTTGTCGGGGCTCCAGACAAGTATTTAGTGGCTTTCAAATACCATTAAGTTCCGAAATACCTGTAGCTCGATTTGCTAGTTAAGGTTTTGATTAGTTGTCCGTGCTAAGCAATTTAATGACAAACGTTTCACCACCTCTTTCCTCTGTACCTTCACTGCGCAGCTGCGTAAAGGATAATCTCACGTGTTCCATTAAATTACTCAGCTCAGAGAACGATTTAAAACCTTAACCCCTAAGTTTCTTTTACGCAGCTATCAGAGTCAAAGGTCAAAGCTGGTATATTCGTTAGCCCACAGATATAGAAGATTATGTGACTCGCTGAATTCGGAGATAAACTACACAGGACAGAGAAAGAACCTTGGAACAGTTTCATTGCAATTGTTTAGGGCCTAATAGACAGCCACAAGATATGAAACTATGGGCAGCTAATTAAGACTGTAATAGCTATCTGTGTTAAAAGTGGATGCAGAATGTCCATCAAACTTCCAATTCTTAAAGCTCCCCTAGACGAATTCAACAAGAACATGAGAGTTTACCCATAGAAGCTTTAACCAAGTCCAAGTTATTTTTGTATTTCCAGTATAATATGCCTTCATCCAGTGAAAACCTGTTTAGATGTGCTGATTGTTGCGCTCAGAAAGCGAATCTCTCGGCTTTCACCAGTGCTGGCATCCATGTTCACTGTTTTTGAGAAGGCGTTAGCCGAGCTTGCCTCTGTTACCTCGCTCAACTCTTAAGTGGATTGGAGTATGAAATCCCCGAATAATACGAATGTGGACTCAGTAACGGACTGTCCTTTTGTTGACAGTGCATCCGTTGATGAGGCGTTTATCCTACCGGACGCTCCAGTACACTTGGAGATAACAGACACAGATGCCTCGGACGGCATTGTTGACCCACCCCAAATGGAAGCCGAGTCACGGGCTCCTGGGGTAGAAGAGAATAAGCGCATTAGACAAGGAAAGCGCGCAAATCCTCCTCCCCCAAACCGGAAAGTGATAAAACGATCAAGAGACGAGGGCCTGAGCTGAAAACACCACATGGTGCTGCAATTTCCTCAGTGAGACATGAGGTGCCATCGCCTTCGATCCCACCGATTCCTGTCAAACAACTACGTAGCGTGGATGGTAAA